AACTAATAATAATAATAATAATAATAATAATAATAATAATAATAATAATAATAATAATAATAATAATAATAATAATAACAATAATGATAATAATAATAATAATAATAATAATAATAATAATAATAATAATAATAATAATAATAATAATAATAATAATAATAATAATAATAATAATAATAATAATAATAATAATAATAATAATGAAAATAATGATAACAGTAATAATAACATTATTATTAATAAATTGTTATTAATGATAATGTTATTATTGATAATGATAATAACAATATTAGTAATAATAATAATAATCGTAATAATAATAATGGTAATAAGATTGAAAGAAAATGATAAGTTTACCAATACAATTGCAATTAATGATAATTATATTTCCAATATATCATCATAATCAGTATAAATTTATTTTAAATATAGCAAAAATTACTTAGAAACAAAAGTAATACATTTATTACTTTTTCCTCTTTCTCTACTTTTAATTCCAATTTAATTCCATTCTTTTTCCAGTCTTTCTTTGAGTTTTTCTTTACTTATCCTAAATCTTACACTAATCCCTGCTACTCTTTTGATATTCTTTCCATCTTTTAACTCTCAATAATCTTATCATCTAACAAATATATCGAAATTTCATTTATTTACTTCATTTCTTAACGTTGATTAATTTCTCCTTCTCTCTCTCTCTCTCCCTCTCCTCTCTCTCTCCCTTTCTCTCTTCCCCTGTATGTGTGTACATTTGTTCTTTTGTTCTTACTAATCTATCAATAAATAAAAAAAATGTTTTAATTTAGTAACAAATACTATTTTTTTTTTTCATTTTGTTTGTTTACTACTGTAGCTGAGTGAATACAATCAAAAAATTCGTATTTTTAACAAATCATCTCTATCTGTAATTTTTGCAAAAAATTTTTCCAATTAATTTAATTGTTTACCTATTTATAAATAATTAATTAGTTAATTATAATGTGTATACGTGAGATTTTATAAATTTGTTTATAGTATTATTACAAAATTGTCATAATATTATGCAATAATGATTCGTGATGATTTTGAAATGTTCTCTTTGAATAATTCCCTTTCAAATGATATGCTTTATTTTAGTACCTGTTACTTACGGCATACCTAAAACTGACCAGTTTTGGTCAGTGATGATGTAACAACAAGCAATAACAGCCTATTGCATTAGTGTATAGACCGACAAATTAAAGGGTTATCATCAATTTGGGTACACTTAAGATTCACAATTTGCGAGGACAGCTCAGTGACCGCTAAGAACCCTTCAGATGTTCACAATCAACACAAATTTCTATATTTTGTAAGTGAAAGTACACTTACCAGGTCATTCCAATGTCCACTCTCACATTTAAACATTCTTTATCTTTGATTGGTAAACTTCTTATGTAATACTTGCTTGGAAGTGAGTATAGCTATAATTGGAATATGAAATGATTGAATAAATAAGGAAAATAAACCTCGCGCATTTTCAATGACATTTAGAATCACGATATTATCATCTTTGAGGCGATAAAAATTCGGTTAGATTAGGAGGGATGAAACGATGTAGAAATGAAAAGATCAAATGGTTTTCATCGAAGTATTTTGAAATTTGAAAATTTGGAAAAAATGGGAGAAGACATCATTTTTTGAGTTCTAAAATTAAGCAAAAAAAATTTTAAATCTAATAAATGATTTTTGAACTTTTTTTTTCTCATTTATTAAGGCTATTTTACTCGAAGCTCAATTTACAGTAAATGTATGAACTTTTTCAGGTTGAATCATTCGATAGAAATTTGATTTTGACAAATTCTGTTTGACTTTATTTTTCTGCTTTTTCTTTCATTTTCTATATAAAGTTAAAAAAAATGAAAGAGTCAAATGAAATTAAAATCAAGTTTTAGGCTATTATCAGTGCTTTGGAAACATATAATTTGTGGCATACTAACAAGTGAGGTACATTGTACCCGGATAACACCAATTCAGGGTAATGTTGCAAATATGGACGATTCCGGAAAGCGCATTCAAGAAATCACTACAACTGTTGCTGATTTAACACTTAAAGAAACATTATGTCTTAATTTTTCGGTATAAAATCAAGAATAAAAATAAAAAAATATTCAAATATTTTTGTAAAAAAAAGAAATTCTAAAAGGAAATGAGAAAAATTAGAATTTGTCATAACTTGATTCCTTTTTTTTTGACAGTTTGTCAATATAGGTATAATATTTTTCAGATTTTTGCAACTATTAAATTGTCACAAAATCATAAAAGACAAATAATAATGCTAATAGTAATAATGGTAATAATAATAATAATAATAATAATAATAATAATAATAATAGTGCTATCAATAATAATAATAACAATAATGATAAAGGATGGAATGAGAACACAAATTCATACCATTGAATATGTTCGCATGGAACAACAATTTCCCATATCTGCATCCTATAAATTTGGAATTCCAGTAATTACGACAACATGTATTTGTGATTGTGCTGGTGCTGAACAATATTGTAGTATGGATGAATATAAATATAAGTAATATAAAAATAATTTTTTGTTAATAAAAAATCTTTATTCAAAAAGAAATTTTAGATTATCTTTATTAATTAATGTTGAAAAGATATTAAATTTTGTTTACTAATCAATTTAGTGGAAAAAAAGAAAGAAAACATATCTAATTTTTAGCCATTTTAACTAAAAATTTTTCCTGTGATAAATTGATTTTCAAATTAAAATATGGCATATTTTTGAAAGAAAATTAATTTGAAATGTTTTTTCGTTTCAATTATTTAATTAAAAAAGTTAATTTTATTTTATAAAAAATAAAAATTAAAATTGTAAATGTTGCGATAAAAAAAAGCAGGAATTGTACGAAAAGTTCTGTTTGCTACCGAACATATCATGCGCATCAGTCAAGTAGTGGTTGTTTAATGTCATCAAAGAGTGAAGTTTGTTGTGAAGTGGCAATCGAACCATATGGGGTACTGATTTTACTTTTACCAAATCATTCATTATCATTTATCCATTTTTTGACATATTTACTTATATATATATATATATATATATATATATATATATATATATATATATA